GTGATACTCTGCAGGGGTCTTGGGAAAGCAGAGAGGTTTGTGAAAGCCAGTCCACGGGTGAGATCTGAAGGTGTTGCCTCGCTTTTTAAAAATGTTGGAGGGTCTTGTTTTGTTTTTAAGGGAAGTGTTCCTATTAAAAACCGTTGGCCCAGTTCAGCATCATTTCTTGGTTCCATATACAAGGATACAACAGAGTGTCTTCATATATACCTGGATGCACCTGCCTTTCAGACCTGAGAGACAAATGAAAGAGCTAACCTTTCCAAAATGCCATGCAAAAGAGAGAGCAGAACTGGCTTGGAATTACTGTCTGAAAGGAGCAAAGGTGGGGTGGGGGGTAAAGAGAGAAAGAGAGACAGCGGCACATTATGCAGCATGTATTGGCGGGGGGGGGGGGGGGGGGGGTGCTATAGACTGAGACCTGTCAGAGCTTCCGTGGCAAGAGTGTGTCGCAGCCGAGAAGCCAGAGTGCGATAACAACTCCTAGCAGTGCTGTTTTCCAGGAAGATAAAAGGGCTGACAGCAAAATCCAGAAGGGCAGAGTCAATTCAACACGCAGTCCCTCTGTAACCTTACGGAGCAAGAACAGCTTGTCAGATAAGGGTGAGGGAAGTGAGGGGCGCACACTTTGCACAAGCCACTCGGTAGACTTGTCTCCCTTGCTGCCTCTGACTTATCTTCTAGTTACAGGTGTAGGTATGTACTTGGCCTAGTAGACCATCAGAAAACAATGTTTGCAGACACTTTTGTGCGGGACACATGATGACACAGAGCACAGGGATGATGACAAGGCAGCCAGTGAAGACACACCTGGACCTAGATAAAGCCCAAAATATACCTTTCCTTATTTTGTCCAAAGCATCAGCATGTTAATCATATGCCCCCACATCTACCAAAGAATGGAGTCTCCTTTCCCGGGAGTGTTTTTAATCACTTTTTCCCTCTGATGTACTGAAACATTTCTTGAGTTTTAGAAGTTCTGATTACTCTTCTGTACTTAAAATGGTAATTCGAGCCATCTTCTCCTCCAATTATGTCTCAGTTTGGCGTTCTGAATAGTATTCCAGAGGAATTTTGGAGACAAAATCCCAGTGGCAGACCCATCAGATTGTAGAAGATTCGGTGTCTTTCCTTGCATCTCAAGGTGTTAAGATTCTTTACTGCAGTCCAGATGATGGCAAATTTCTGCTTTAATTAAGTATTGCTGCTCTAGCAGCGTAGTGCTTAATAGACCAGTCCAAATCACTGGGTGTTTAATACCAAACAGAGTTGCTTCTCAACTGCAGCAGCCATTGAGAGCCAGCGTGGTTTAGTCGTTAAGAGCATCAGACTGGATCTGGGAGACCCAAGTTCAAGCCCCCAGTTCGCCACAGAAGCTTGCAGGGTGACCTTGGGCCAGTCACACCCTTTCAGCCTAGCCTACCTTATAAGGGTGGTTGTGGGGATAAAATGGAGGAGAAAAGAATGATGTAAGCCGCTTCGGGGTTCCCACTGGGGAGAAGGGTGGAGCAGAAATGCAGGAAATAAATACATTTTTGAATGCAGCGCCTTGTCTAAAATGGCAGGTATTTAAGTAAGCGTTCCGTTTTCTTCCACATAGCGTTCTGCGAGTTTCCAGGAGCCAAAGAGAACAGTCCTAAGCAAGTCTGGTCAGAATCCTTTAGAGGGTCTGTTCAGTTGGCTTTACTACCAGGAAAGGGTACTTAGGATGGCACTGAAAATACAGGGCTTGCTCCCTACCCACCCAACTTCTTGTTATTTTGCAGAAAGCAGATGACCGGGAGAAAAGACAAGAGGCCCACCGGTTCCACTTCGATGCTATGTGAGATGACTTAATAGCTTGATGGAGAAATTGCTGCTGGATCTGAAATACTACATTCTAGCCTACGATGACAGGAGGGAGGGGACAGTATTTGTTACTGTACTATTTGTAAATGTTGCATTGTTTTTAATTTATTTGGGAAGTGTTAAAAATCAAACCTGTCTCACATGGCCTTCTGGTGATTTGGTTGTATATATGGTCAGTTGTTTACTCAAACTGTAAATTCCTTTTCAGTCATGGATTCTGTCGTACACATTCCGCCGTTTACACACCTTCATTTTCTTCTGTACGTTCCACGAAAGGGAAGTTGCGTGTCAATTAAAAGTTTCAGCAAGCAAAATTCATTTTAGTGCCGCTTGAACTGGTCCTTCTGCTTACGCAATGCTAAAATGTGAATTGCGTTTTCGTAATTGACTTTCCAGCAGATTGGCAGATGAAGCAAGACACCTATTATTGTTCCGACTGTACTCTTGGGGTGTCTGATTTGAAGCACTCTTGACGGCTTTATCTTTCTATTAATCTTTGGAACCAATCAAGTGAGAGGAAAAGCTTTAAATTGGAAGATACAAACATCCTACAGTAGCTAACAAAAAAAACCCCTCATCACTATTGCTATGATTAATAGATTAATATTTGATATGGAAGTATGTAATTCAATTTATATTTCAAATTATGCCTTCCTACAATGGAAGAATGTTGCATGACTCTTTTTTTATTGGCGTTTATCATGCTGTTATAGTAGAACTTAATCATGAAAACATTTGACCACCAAGATTAAGTTAAGTTCTTGGGGAACAGGACCGAATCCTCTAAGAACAGGTGCATATTGTATGATCTTCCAAGTTCGCATTATTAAGGACCGGACTATACTATTTTAAATTTAATGTAATTTTATCTGAGGCTACGATGCAGTACCAGGCTAAATGATTTAAGCCTCAGGGCTGTGAGCAAAGAAAACCCCAGCTATGTTCAAGATGTTCACTGTTTTCCAGATACCATTTAAGCTAGGGCTCTTCTATTAAATGAATTATGTTGGAAATACTTGATGTAATGTGGACGTCCTTTATTCTCAGATCCGCTAATTCATGGTTTATGATGGGTTTTTTTAAAAAACTGTTAACCTGTGTTCCTTAATAAATGGAGTATATTAAGTTAGATGATGTACGTTGGCTCAGTTTACAGGTGCTCGAAGGCACCAGTGCTTGCAATAGGACCGTGGGTTCTCTGTATGGCCAGCTGAACCAAATGTTAGATAAATATGGCTGTTTTATCACAGACTTCTTTACAGAGGGATCAGGGAAAGAAACTGGGGAAATACAGGATACATATGCAGCTATCTCATGCTGGATCCAGGCTATGTAGCTCTGCATTTGTTTCCTCTGATTCCATCTCTTTAAGGCCAGTATCTTCCCCAGCCCTTCGTGTCTCTCATCTGAAAGGGCTGGGGCCGCCGGCTCTGTCGAGCTGCACCCCCCTCCCTCCAGTCATATCTGTTTTGTCTTATTTCTGCCCTGCCCTTAGGACTGCATAGGGCAGTAGCAAAAGGGGGAAGAGCCAGGGATCGGAATCAGACTCGGAGTTCATTTTCTCCTCAGCTGTCACCGGCCTTTCTTGTGACTATTGGTCAAGCCCTGACAGAGTCTGTTGTTTTCACACTGCACCACTGTCTGTGCCTATTAGCTGCTCTGGCTGTTTTGAGCTGGCACCGTTCCCCGCTGTACACTCCAAATATAGAGGGAAGACCTTTCAAGTGAACAGTGTAATCTCTGTGCTATTTCTTCCTCCCTTGGTGTTTTTTTTTTTTTTTTGCCTCCCCGTCACTAACTATGTAGAAGGGGAAAAGTCGGAAGTATGATGGAGATCTATTTCCAGCTTCAGCAGAATGGGAAAGAAATGCCGATCTCCCCCCCCCCCTTTGAGGTGGGGAGGGGCGATGACCAGTGTTCCCTCTAAGCTGAGTTACTGTGAGCTAGCTCACCGTTTTTTTAGCCTCCGGCTCACGGATTTTTGCCTTACCTCAGGAAGGGCGGCTCCAGAGCAAACTAATTTATATGCAGTAGCCAAATCGCTCGCTCACAACTTCAATGCCAGTAGCTCACAAAGTAGTATTTTTGCTCACGAGACTCCACAGCTTAGAGGGGGCATTGGGGATGACTGAATGCCACCTTCTCACGCCAATCTCCTCCTTACCTCTGCCTCAAACTCATCAAGTGACTTAAGGCAAGTTGTGCTTTCTCACCGGGTGATGGCTGGAGATCTCCTGGATTACAACTGGTCTTCCGGGCAACACAGATCAGCTCGCCTGGAGAAAATGGCTACTTGGGAAGATGGTCTCTATAGCATTACACCCCACTGAAGTCCTTCCCCGTTAGAGATGTAAAATTTCCGGAAATTTTGAAGCTCGGAAAAAAACCCGGGTTTTTTCGGGGGGAAACGGAAATTTTCGGAAAAATTGAAAAAAAATGCTACATTAGCATTTTTTGTCTTTTCTAGATTGAAAGTCATTCTGTTACTTTAGGAACATAAAATATGACTATGGACATTTTTACTTGGCATGAAATTATCACAACTAGCATATTAAAAATATAGTGTATCCAAACAATTATTACAAACAGAATACCCACCCACATGCAAAAACAAAACTGAAACCTTTTTATTGTCTTCTGACAATAGCACCTCCTAAAGGAAGAAATGCATCTTGTTCTTGCATTGGAGAGTTCAGTTTGTAACCTAGGACTTGCTTGTCCTCAGTGCACAGAAATTAGATCAATCTGATACCATATATATATATTTTAGAAATGATTTGGAAAATATTTGAACACCTTGTCTTAAAATATTTTTTTCATCATGTTAAAATAAAACGTTCCATAGTCAATTTATTTTATTGTATTTTATTTTTTCAATTTTTCCAATTTTTCGGAAAAAAACAAAAAAGGCTTCAGGAAAAAAACTGGTTTTTTCCCTGAATTTTTCCGTTTTTTTTCCGGGCCTTCACATCTCTATTCCCCGTACCCCACCCCCTTCTCAGGCTCCATCCCTAAAATCTCCAGGTATTTCCCAATCCAGAGCTGGCAACACGAGGCCCACCCCATCACAGGACTGTGGGCTGGAGATAAGATCAGGCCTACCAGGGCTGTTTTGAAGACTATTGCAAAAAATGTCTACATTACTGAAAGAAATGTCTGCAGAGTGCTTTGAACAATGAAAGCATTATGTAAAGCGCTAAGCATGATTCCATTCATTCTAAAACTATTTGAGAAAGATCTGTTCTCCCAAGAATAGTGACACAAGAGTTGCTGTATCTCTTGTTTTAGATCTGTGCTTTTCCCCCTGTCAGTGCACAAGACACACAGCACCTAACATTCAGCATTGCGCCAGCTGAGGCTCAGCCAGAATGAACAGACCTTGTGTGGAGCAGAACAAGGCCTAGTTCATGACCCTTCGGAACACTCCGCTCTGACAGTGTTTGCCAGTCATGAGAGCTAGCTTTAAAAAAAAAAAACCAAACCATTATAACATCAACCAATTAGTGGGATATATTTGGCAGTGTACAGAAAAGCAAGTGTTGTTTTAATGGCTTCTTGGATCATTCAACCGGTACGACCTTAGTCCTTTGCACAGGTTGAGCATCTCACAGATGCTCCAGGTCTTCGCAAGGGTGTTTTTGATCAACTCCGCCATGAACAACAGGATGAAGAGCGCAACTGTAGTTAGAAAGTACACATCCAAGAGATCTTTATGGCGACTGGATGGTGCAAAGACCTAATTATATGAATTAAAACAACGTTGAATAATGTTGTTGGCACAACTTTTCCAACATAGGTGCACTCGGTGCAAACTCCACAGGTCTGATATGTTGTGTTTGCCAGTTTCAGTTCCTAAGCAAAGCTGCCTGCTGTGTAGTAACATCATCTGTAGAACAGCCACTGGAGGCCCTCCGACACGTTTTTAAGACCTCTGGCCAATTGACTGGTAAGTATGATTTAGCTGCGGAGGCTCAAGTGGTTAAGACGCTGAACTGCAGGCTGTGGAAGGTCGGTAGTTCAGCAGTTCAAGACCCGAGTTGCCGCATGACAGGGTGAGCTCCCGTCTCTAGTTCCAGCTCCTGCCAGCCTAGCAGTTTGAAAGCAAGAAATTGCAAGTAGATAAATAGGGACCACTTCGGTGGGAAGGTAACAGCGTTCCGTGCGCCTTGGTGTTTAGTCATGCCGGCCACATGACCACGGAAACGTCTTCGGACAGCGCTGGCTCTTCGGCTTTGAAACGGAGATGAGCACCGCAACCCTAGAGTCGGATTCGACTGGCTTTCATGACCTTGATGAATCAAGAGCCTGATTCTGTATAAGGCAGCTTCATGTGAAGAAGAAGAAGAGATTTGATTTATCCCCCGCCCTTCACTACCCAAAGGTGTCTCAGAGCAGCTTACAAACTCCTCTCCCTTCCCCTCCCCACAACAGA